CTACTACTAACTACTACTAACTACTACTAACTACTACTAACTACTACTACTACTACTACTACTACTACTACTACTACTACTAAACTACCACTACCACTGAGCTTTGACCTCTGCTCGTTGTTCGGCCGCGGCGATGGACAGCCATGGCGGGATGACAGAGTCGCACCGTCCGGCGGTAGCAGCTCCAACCTTTGCGCCGAAGACCAGGCCAACCCCGAACCTTGAGCCTCCAGGGATTTGATGCGTTGCACCAATGTATCCAAAGCTCCTGGAACGGATCCTCTCAGCAGCTGGTCCCCGATGGTGCTCGGGGTCCATGCCTCGCGGCTCATGGGTCCATTCATCTTCTTTGTCAAGGCCTGCCTGTAGTACTTGAGCAGGGTCGGAGTCCATACCCCTGGGTACATGGCCGACCGCACGGATCTTTTGCGACTCCCCGAACACTTGGTCCCCTTTCAATGCTAGATCCCCGGCACTTGCCCTCAACTCGTAGCAGTACTACTACCTAAACCTACTACTACTACTACTACTACTACTACGACCACCACCACTACCACCACCACTACCAGTACTGGTACTGGCATATGGCACGGTCGGCAGAGACACAGTTTCATTTGTTGGTGGCCAGGCGTTGGACCACCCCTACTCCTACTCCTACTCTCTACTCCTACTCCTGGTCCTGCTGCTGCTGCTGCTACTGCTACTGCTACGGCTACTGCTACTGCTACGACGTCGACGACAACGACCACCACCACCACCACGATAGCGACGGCGACTGTTTGTTGCCACAGCGACAACGACGACGACTACTGCTACTACGGCTACCATTACAACTACGACTACACCACTAACGCTACCAGCACTACGACTGCCACCACCATTAGGACAACAAAATCATCTTCTAACTCAGCATCATGATCTTCTGAACATTGTTTGGGGTCTCTAGTCAGGATCATTGGAGATGCCTTGTGTGGACCTTGCTGACAAGTCTGGGCTCGCATCATACACTCCAAAGAAAGAATCCGATGCGAAAGCACCAAGACGCTGGAGAAGGCAGCACTTTTTACGTTGTTTGTCCCGCGTGATGGTTGACCAGCAGCTTGGTGACCAAAGGTTGTGACTCCTTCCATCCTACAAGTAGCAACCATTGCAGCAAGACGGGCGAGCCTTCCCCCTCAACTTTTGCAAACACACACAGAGGAGGGTAGTAATGCTCCGGTAGGGGAGTTAGATCTTCAACAAAGGGCGTTTGACCCTGTCTATCTTTTATTCTTCTCCCAACCACAAAGAAAAAACTCTTCCTACACATGATCCACTTCACCTGTATTACACGCAGATTACTCGGAGCCTCTTAGGAGTGGTTCTCAGTCAGAAGAGTCCATCAAACACTCCCGCCATCCACCTCTTCCTCCCTTGCGAATCAAACGATCGACCTCTCCACATGGCCTCGGGATAGATCTCGTGCCCGCGCCGCCTGTTGACTTGCCGAGGCAACAGGCGCCAATGCGGCAGGGCGAATCACCACTGTGGAGTCGTTTTCGGTGCAGGAAACTTTGAAACACAAACGCATGGCGTTGGGTGAAGTGCAACAAGATATGCTCATGAGGGGGGATGTCATGTTTACACTCAAACATGAAAACTACAGAGGTGTTGAGAAACAAAGGTGGTGAGAAAAATTGGGTTCTTCGGTTGGAACTTGCCTGTCTATGAACTTCTACTGGTTACTTGTGGACGGTGGTCATCGACTATAGCCACGTTGTGGCATTTGCATCCTCATCCTGCTCGCCAAAAAGAAATGAAAGAGCTTTCCAACATAGGCCGAGCGGATGTTCAGGATACCCTCCCTGAAACAACCATGAAGCGGACAATGGCACTTGGAAAGACCATTTCCTTTACAACCAGGTGGTTTTGCACTTCCATATTTGTTGGAGAGAGGGTCAATGCTTCAATGATGGAGCCTTTCCCGGTGATCCCTACTTGCTCCCTGTTGAAGGTTTCGCCGCATGGTGGCAAAATGGGGCACTCAGCAAAAATGGTTGTGATTTGTTGCGAGGTTTTGGGTCATTGCATTAGATGAATCAAAGCCAGCGCATGGATAGTGAACCACCAAGCTGAGTTCCAGCTTGGCAGCTTGGCTTGGGGGGACCCACAGGTCCAATACGCACCGGCCCAAGTAGGTGACCAGAGGCCCAGGCTGACGCGATGTGCCACTCGGACGGCTCTCAATAGCAGGCTGGCCAAAACCATCAAGTCCAGTTTTCATGGAAAATATCGGTTTACCAAACTTTCTGCCAACTGCATTTCAGCGGAGTCATCCACTCATGGTTAAAGTTATCTATATACTGATTGGATGGGTTCTGGTGCAGATTGACTTGTTTCCTCAGCACCGTGCCACTCCGCAACGCACCGCACTTCTGGATATTCAATTGCCACTCCGAAAAGCAGCGGCAGACCACGCGGCAGACCACTGTGAAGTCGCCAAACCGCGCTGCGACGCGAAACGCCAGACCACGTCCAGCGATTGCATTCAGAATTTAAAAAAGTGATTCTTTCTAAACGCACGATGCACATGACGATTGGGCGCTTTTCTACCACCAGGAGCCACTTTGGGATCATAACATGGTTAAGTCAAAGAAGCGGTATGTGACTTGGGAGACCTGCACCACGCCAGCCAGTCCATGGAAATATGAAGAATCTGCTTGGCAAGGCATGCTTGATGACGGGCATCTTTCAACTGCGTTTTCACTTCGCTCTTTTTCACCTGGCTTCCCAGCTGCCAAGCTTCCCAGCTGTCGCCGTGCAGCTTTTTTGCTGCTCCCCGAAGACTGGGCTGGGGAGCCAGTAAAGCGACTGTTGGAACATAAGGCTGGGAAGCCAGAAAAACAAATTACTTTACTTCGAGTGATCCCCACCATGACATTTCAATCTAAGGAGGTATGAGTTGGGGTGCAATGCAAGCGGTCCTTTTTCCACCTGCTCAGCTTGAGCCAAACCGTTTGGTTGGCGAAGTTCATCAACACAGCTCGAATCGAAATGCTCGATCGAAAAGCGAAAATGCTCATGAGGTGCATGGTGTTTGTCCCACACTCCCCCTGCGGTGCGCCACCGCATTCCATTGGCCAAAAGACCTTTTGGGTCAGCCTAGTTCGTCAGAAGCTCATAGCTTCCATCAGAATCCCACTCTTCATTGATGGGCATGGGACCCTGGCTACTTCTAGCAGCGGGTCTGGTGCCCTCACTTCCAGCCGCGGGGCTGGTGCCCTCACTTCGAGCCGCGGGCCTGGAGGCCTCACTTGGTCGTCCAGCGCCGGCAGGGCGCGAGCTTCGAGCCACAGGCATTTGAATGCCCAACCATTGAGGCGTCGCTTCATCCGGCAAATTAGGATGCCGGGCAAGCAGCAAACCTTCGGAGTGGAGCGAGAGGATCCAATCCGACCGCTCTTCCTCAAGAGGAACCTGCATGTTGGCTGGCGCAGGCCTCTCTCCTCGATTCTCCTGTCCCCTCATTCGGCCAAGGTAGCCGAGAGTGAGAGGTGCTTCCATAGCATCCATGCCGCGAGTCGATGCCGTCATCGTCGAGGACAAGGTGCTCGTTGGTGTCCCTGTAGAGCTATCTGTTGAGCCTCTTCGAACCCTCCTGATTCCTCTCAGTAGTTCCTCTTCTGGTCGAACCGGCGGAGGCCCCGATGACGCACTGACCTGCGAGGTCGAAAGCGACTGTCCAGGTGGCGTCGGTGTCGAGGAGCTTCCCGTCGTCTGGCCAGCAGGAGTTGAAGAGCTCGTCTGTGAATCCAGGGTTGAATTCTCGGGCAGAGGAGGTTGAGGGAAAAAAGCTGTAGCCCACCCACTGCTCCTCTGTCGGAACCATAGGCCTGGTGCCGTTGCGCCAGTCATCCTCCACCACCGACTTCTCGCCATGCAGCCATACCACAGTAACCCGACCACTGCGAATTTGAGCCGCGTCGAATGGCGTCTGCCGATGTACAGGATGGAATGGCCTTTTTCTTGGTTTGACATGATGTCGAACCCACCAGCCATCGCGCAGCCGCCCCCATCGATCTCGTCCTTGTGGAGGAAGTCGGAATTGCGGCCACTCATGAGGTCCAGCCACCGTCCATGTGCCGGACTCAGTGCTGGGCCCAGCGCGCATGGCAGCAAGGCGCACACCACATCCATGGCTGCGAGGTTCGAACGCGGCCGCACGGGAGCCTTTTAGGCTAATGTCGCCCGCCCGCCCTCCCAACCCAGCGGTGGGTTCATTTTCCCTCACCGATCTTGTGTTTTCTTCCCCTCCTAGTTCGGTGGGTTCATCTTCCCTCACCGATCTTGTTTCGACCGAATCCCGTCCCCGTGGCGCCTCAGCCTGGGATTCTGCCGGAAGGTGTCCAATGATCTTCTTGAGGTCCTGTGCTTTCGAGGCCAGGTATGCTGCAAGTGCTGTGATGGTCAAACAGCGTGCAATCTTGTGTGCTTCATGGATTGGATTCCAAACAGCCATTCCTAATATTCCAGCTACAACCGCCTGGAGCCTAGAACAAACTGACTGGTGTTCATCTTTCTGCCCAATCCCTGAAGACACACGTGCTCCTAAAAAATGGAAAAACTTCTGCCATGAAGCCGGTTTCACGATCGGCTTCGTCAGCAAATCCGATGGCAGTTCAGTGCCAGGAACATGCAAGGTGCGCCAACACTGCTGCTGGATGCGCTCCTTCACCACATAGGCTCTCAGCCTCAGATGCCTCGTGCGCCATGGTCCGTCCGGCGCAACCAAAATCTTCAGCCCAGTTTGCGAATCACCGGAAAGGACCTGCTCTCCTTCAAGGTGCAGCTTGTGGTCCTCCAAAACGTTCACGATGGCCGCCACCGACTCGCCCATCACCACTCCATCAACATAGCCCATCAGCTCCGATTCAGCGCTGGAGAGGGTGGCGAACGGCTGCTGCCGACTTTCCCATTGAACCGGGGCTCCATTGTAAGTGACCAGCAACCCCTGTTGACCTCTTCCACCTTGGGGACCGTGAGAAGCATCCGAAAAAACCCGAACACTGGGGAGCTTGGTCGCCTCGGACTCAATGGATGGAGCCTCAAACACCTGTTGGGTGTAACACAGCTCATAGTCCACGGTGGAGTGCAAATATCCAAGCATGTGAGCCCCCCATTCCAAAACTTTTCCCGGAGCCTTCGTCACCAAGCGGCCCATGATGGAGACTCCATAGCTGAGGTCAGGCCTGGTTCGCCCGCTGAGCCAAAGCAATTCACCAACGAGGGCCTGGGCTTTGCGGACCTGTTCAATGGAGATGTTTTCCTCCAGTTCATCTTGTACGCCGAGGGGCAAAGGAGTTTGTCTCGACTTGATGCCTTCGTGGCGTGCAAGGAGATCTCGGGTGTAGGAGGTCTGGTTCAGGATGACCTCACCTGGGCGGCACTTAATCTCGAAGCCGCAAAACTTAAGGGACTTTTCTGACGATGCCCACTCCGGTTCTGATAGTTGGCTTGATTGCCTGGGTCGATGAGACCAGTTGACCATATTCATCACGCAAGGGAGGCTTCCATTTTTCCAACTCCTTGCGGACCTGCTGTAGTGAGACCGTGTAGGTCTGGAGCACCGTGACTGGGACCTCAGTTGAACCAGCCATTGGAGCCAGTGAAGCCATCTTGTAGTTCTGCAAGGAGGAATGCTGAAACGACAATTGATCTTCAGCACCTCGGAGCAGCAATTCAACTTCACGAAGCCAGCTGCCATGAACACTCCCAGCGTCCTCACCAACTGCAACTTCTCGAAGACCTTGACACCAGAGCTGCTTCAAAGCCCAGTGACGTTGTTGTTCAAGTTCATGCCACTGCTCTGCCTGTTGTCGTGAGCAGCACATAGGATCTTCCAGCTCCCCCGGAAGGTCAGGGTGTTGACATTGATCACCTTGATCATGAGTCTTGGGCGTGGAGCCTCCAACAACCTCCTCCGACTCCCCTTCATCCTCAACTTGAAGTGCCAAGGAGCAGCCAACCTCGTCCAAAAAGGGCAAAGGATCCTCCCCCCCAGCTCGGCATGCAGCAAGAGCTGGGTCAGACTTATCATACAAGGCACCCACGGCTCCAGCAAGAGGATGGTCAGGTAGAGGTGGTGGATGTTTCCCCACAATGCGGTGCTTGATTGATGGCACCTCCTGCAAATCCATGATCGCCTGGTCAGCAACCGGCGAAGGTTCCAAAGCCGTCCTCACATGCAGCAGCTGCCCCTTCTTGTCGCGGGCAATCCAACCATGAGACATGTATGGGCATGGTCCCAGGAGCTGCATGGTGCGGTAGGGCATGGAAAGTTGTCCAGCGCGATGCCAGCGTTTGGACTTAACCAAAACTGAAGCTCCATAGCGAAGCATTGGTGGGCTCGGCAGGCCCAATCTTTCAAGTTGTAGGCGCACACGGCCTTCTGCAGCATGGCGTAGAGCTGTTGGCCAGAGGGATTGAGGAAGTCCA